GTTTTAGCCAAACCAGGACAAAATGTTTCTCTCCAGTCCTTGGACTTAAGCTGTTCCCTTCTTTCATTTAAAAAGTAGTCCCTAAAATGGTGTGAATGTGACCATTTAACTTTCATATGGTGTGTTGAAAAATAAAATACAAGAATGATACCTTCTCTCTGATGTGTTCCTGATTTATTTCCTTATTAAGTTTTCCTTTGGCAAACTCATAATTGGAGTAGAAAAGCCTCTCACCCAGGGAGTGAGGCATGGAAATATGTTTCCAATAGAAAAATGGCCACGAGCTCTTACTTAACCTCATATGAAGGAAAGAGGTGCTCATAATGCTGCGAGTACAAAAAGGGAGCCTTTCTGCACAGAGGGAGGTTTGGGATGGCGTCTGTAAAGAACGGCAGTGGTGGGGATAGTGTCTTTTTGTCTGCCTATTGTTCATCTGTTGGGAAAGCAATGACAACCACTCCCAAAATGTATTCTTAATATGTCCTCTCTTTCTTGAAGCTATTTATGTGGCTGCGCTTTAAATGAGGGATAGAGTGAAAAGCACCTATAAGCTTCAGAAGTAAAATTTTTCAGTTTGGAACAACTTTACGAGAATCTTCTGTGTTTGTATTTCCTTTTGCCTATTAGTTCTCTGTCACCTTGCTGAGAAATTTTTCTGGTTTTGATTGAAGAATAATGTCTGGCTGCATATTGCTATAGAATGTTATTCCTTTATGTGGAATTAATTACTCTTTTCTAACATTTCAGTATGAACGTTACTGAATTCAAGTATCTGCCGGTAGAAAAAGTAGCTAGGAAATAAAAGTCCTTAGTTGCTTATAATTCAGAACAAATGCTGACTGCTCATAAATTTGCTTGCTCAGGTCTCTAGCGAAATGTGGTGTGGAAATGATGGAAACTGCTTGATGCTGCATTTAAATCTTGAATGCATTTTCCTTCCAGGAGGCCAAGTGTTGCAGATTCCACGGGTACAGGCTGAAGATGCCGGGAGGTACACGTGTGTGGCGGTAAACGAAGCTGGGGAGGATTCTGTTCATTACGATGTCCGCGTGCTCTGTGAGCTTTCCTGCTTTTTTTTTTTTTCTTTTCAATGACAAAAAATGAGTTCTGTGGAAACTAGTGATTTTATTTTATGTAATGTTTTTAAAGTTTATAAATTCTGCATATTTGTAAACTATGAAATTAATACGTTTATATAAGGTGCTAGAGTTTCCTAGAGGCATACAGAATTGCATGAAAATAGTGTTAATGTTGTTAGTTCAGTATGTTTTTAGGTTATTGTTATAGGAACCCTTACCACGCTTCACCAGAAAGAGAAGTAAATGTAGAAATTCAGGTTTTATCTTGGTATCTCTTGTTCCCTATCCAGTTTCCAGTTCAAAATTCTGACCTGCTAGACTTGCCTCTCTCCTTATTTTGGTCATATTTTTCTAAAATAACTGCAAAACTCCTAAAAGCTTAAGGGAAGTGATGATTTAGATCACCCATTGAATGCCTGCAGACTGCATTTTGTATGATCTCTTTACAAACATTGCACAGAAAGCTTTTGTAAGCTGCTTGCATTGTCTGTTGACGTACTCAAGGTTTTTGCCTTGGGAAACGCTTATTTCTTTAACTCGATTTCTGTGTCTACCGCTGAAAACACTGGTTTATTGTTAGGAAGGAGTCCTGCCTTGGAAATCCTCTTTTGTTCTGACAGCAAAGAACACGAAGGACTAACTGGAAAATGAGTTTTCACCTCTTCTTCTTCATGACTGCTGTGAATAAGCATAGTTCTCCTGCAGGCCTTTTGAGTTATACTAATTTGTTCCAGCTGAACTACTCCTGGAATTTGATTACGTTTCACTGTATTCACTGAAAATTTCCCTACTTTCTTCTAAAAACCCATCTAAAACATTGGTCTGCAATCTTAAAAACAACCAACCAACCAACAGAAAACACTGAGAGGTTCTAAGTCACAGTATTTGTATCGCATTTTGCTCTTTTGTAGTACCACCGTCCATCAGTGGAGCTGATGGTGATCTGCCTGAAGAAGTGACTGTGCTTGTGAACAAGGTTGCAGTGCTGGATTGTGTTGCAAGTGGCAACCCTTCTCCAAATATTACTTGGCAAAAAGATGGCCACCTCCTAGCAGAAGACGACAAACACACGTTTTTGTCCAACGGAAGGAGGTTACAGGTAGCTCTTAGCGAAAAACTGACTTTTAGCATCACGAACACAAGCCGCCCATAAAGAGAAAACTGTTTACATTTGCTGAGTATGCAATTCTGGAGGGTTTTTTTTTTTCTACAAGGTGCTGCAAACCTAAGGAGATTTTGTCGCTTGTTCCTGTCCCTCAGCTGCTGCTTCTCACTCCTGTGCAGTTCCCAGTTGTGCTGACCCAACTGTTTGTGGGGTCGTGCTGTGAACCACATCAGTAGAATCACTTGGTTTAAAACAATGTGGGCTTTTGTGGAGAACGACTTGATGCTGTTAATTTTGTCCAGGTTTCCCTAACAGTTTGTTTATTGCAAAATGTACTTTTTTTTTTAAGAAAATGGTGTGTTCTGAAGAACTCCCCCTTCCTATCAGTGAATGAAATTGGATGAAACTATTAAAACAGTTAGAAACCTGAACTGAATTCTCTGCAGTTGATTCTTTGACAGTAAGTTGTCATGTTAGCTCACAAACTATTTTGTTTGTTTGTTTATTATTTTGGTTTTAGATTTTGAATTCCCGAATAACAGATACTGGCAGATACGTCTGCATTGTAGAAAATGTAGCTGGAAGTGCCAAGAAGTATTTTAACCTAAATGTTCATGGTAAGTACAATAATCCATAATTTTCAAACTGTCTTCTTTCGGATGTTAGCTTAGGTTGAATGTGTTAATTTTAGCAGAGTGCTTAGGCATGTGCTTAGCTTTATGAATGTAAACCATCTTACTGGTTGTAATGGAGATTGTGACATACCAGAAATCAAATATATGTTTAAAGTACCTTGGCAGCACGTAGCTTTTGATACCGCATGGCTTTAGCTCCTTATATGTATTCCACATAGGTGGAAATTATTATTGAGGGAGCCTTGTGTAGTGGCTCTGTGTGTGTACTGTGTAGGGGTTGCTAAGCCCTGAAATCATGAACAAACAGGTTGGATTATAGTCTGTTTTGATATGGTCATAAAATGCATTTTCCAAGAAAATTAATGATTAGAAAGTATTAAACAAAGAGGTGTGGCATTGTAAAAGCTTACTTTTTAAAAATTTACCCTTTAAGAGTCCTTTCTGTTCTCTATTATTTTTTTTGTTTTGTTGTGGAGTTAGAATAGTGTTAAAATAAAATTTGGCCTTTAGTGTCACAAGTCTAAAACAAATACAATCCAGAAATAAAGATGTTTTCCATTCTTTTAAAAACCAGTTTCTCCCCCACCTTCCCTTACCTCTCCTGATAGCTTCAGAAAATCAGGGCATCTCTGACTAATGTTTCAGAGTAAACCCTAACTTCCCCTTTTATTTCTGCCTACCCTTCATCCCACCGCTTTCAGCTTTCCGATCAGAATTGAAGATCAAATAGGCATTATTCCCACAAATTCATCTGCACCACTACATTTTAAAACCTACCAAGGAATACTGGCAGCTACATCTTTATCTGCTTTCACAGTACAATTTGGAGACTTTTATCACAGTCTTCTACATGTGATCAGTATCGTTTTTCACATCCTTGTTAGCTGCCTAATCTTCTGTATTACATCCTAGATAGAAAACAAGTGCTGTCTTCTCTTTCTCGCTTAAATATAGTACCAACGTCCCAGGATTCAGGTTACTGCATACAGAACAACTAAATTTTTTTCTCATTCACACGGACAGCAAATTTACATGCGAAATGAAACAAATTTATAGTGCTTTTTTCTGCTCGGTAATACAATTAGCCAAAACTAGTGTTGTCATGGGAAGAATTTGCCCTGGAGTCATTCTCTGAGAAGTTTTTTTCTTTCAGTGGAGTCTATCCAGATTTCCTGATGTTCCAGTTTTGTTTTTAAATCAAAATGTTTTGCTTTTCTTGACAATTGTGTTTAAATTTAAACTTCTTGTCTTTAAAATATTTGTTTATAATGATGATTGTCTAATGGTTTTATTTTAAAACAAATATTTGCTTGAGATTTCAATTCTAGCTCAACAGTATTACCAATTTAGGTCTAATATTCTCTATGAATGCAGTTTCGTTTGAAAAATTAGACTATAGCTGTTCAGAAAAGGAACACGTAGGGTGAAGCACTGATGAAAATTCATTATCATAAAGCAGCATGATCTTTGTTTTGTCAGTGTCAAAAAAGGTTATTTTCCAGCATTTTCATGTGTTTCTAATGGAACTGCTTTCATAAATTTAAGTTAAATATTAAAGATGGTGCTCTTTAATAAGTTGAAAAATTCACTTCTTGTCTCAAAGGTGACTAATAAAACTAAAATAAAAACTTCTAAAACATTGAAAATAAGCATCCAGTTTTAAAAACTCAACCTCTAAGCTTAGTATAGAATAAATAGGTAATTTTCGCACTGAGTGCTGAAATTCAGCCCATTACTGCATCTGTATGCACATACAAATACATTTGCATGTGCAGATGGTGCGTTTGCTGAGTGCTTTGCACAGTGGTGGGGGCTGCAGAATGTGAAATCTACCACTTACATAATTTAAGCAAAATTCATTGAAAGATAGCTCAAATTTAGCCCTATATATGGAATTGCCTGCTGTCTTATAATCACACTTAGAATTAGCACTGCCAGTAATCACATCTGTGGGAAAGTAACTGTAAAAGTAAACAAATAAACATAACTATAAAGTGTCATCAGATTAGAATTCTTCATTTATTCTAGTGAGCCACTTTATGCTCATTATCAGAGAAATAACCTTCAGTTATTCCAAGTTAAAAAATATGGACTGAATTCACCCGTTTACATTGACTCCTCTTGTTTCTAGTGCCACAGAGGAGCAATAAATTTGGCTTAATGACTGTTTTGTGTCATTCAAGTGACAGAAAGCAGCTGGAGTATTTCTGGTGGCCATGGTCCAAAATACTTTAACATTTCTGTCTTTGAAGAAGAGGATTCCATATGTTCTTTGGAATGATTTTTCCACTCAATAGAGCCAAGAACATGCTTTTGCTTTCCTCTTAAGTGTTTTATATATCCACACTGCAAAAAACATAGAAAGTAAAACTTGGGATTTATTAAAAGGAAGAGATTTACAGTTATTTCATTTTAAATAGTTATTGTAGAAAGGTCAAATGTCAGAATATTCTTGATTTTAAAAATACTGAGACTTGCAAGCTTAAAACTGCACCCCTTAGAGCAACGCTTGCATGCCAGAATTTTAAACTGCTTAGCTCACTCTTAAACAACAGGTTTGTCCGTTTAACAAAAGAACTCTGAACTGTATCAGAAGGAATCATTTTTGGTTCGCTATAATAAGAAAATGGACTATTTCAGAAAGAACAGGAGCAATACAATATCAGGAAGAAATGATACTTAGTCATCCTACATTCCCTGACAGGGTAGACTTAATCTGTCCTGCCTAACATAGCAAATGTCCTATGAGTACAACGTTTTAAAATTGATAGTGCATTAGTCAGGAACTGCAGGATTTCTTGTAGGTTAATTAGCCTTCCCAAATCTCAAGCACAGAAGGACTGCAAATGAAATAATTGAAATTTTTGTGAATGATAGGAACAGGAATGACCATTAGATTGGATTCAGTCACACTTCCAGATACATCCAAAGAGCGGTGGATCCGTTCACAGAATGGGAAAGACATTTGCAACTTGGCCTTTTGGCCAAACTCCACAATTCAGTTCTATTTTGGTAAATCAGGATCTTGTGGAATATTGTTTGCTGATGCTGTGCTAGACACTATTAACATATATCTCTCTGCAGTTCCTCCAAGTGTTGTTGGTACTAATCCTGAGAATTTGACTGTGGTGGTGAATAATTTCATCTCTCTGACTTGTGAGGTCACTGGCTTTCCACCTCCTGATCTCAGCTGGCTCAAGAATGGAAAACCTATCAGTTCGAATACCAACATTTTTATTGTGCCTGGTGAGGAATCTTGGCTATTTCTACAGCCTTTGGACTCGACCTCTGTCTGTTTTGTCTTGATAAGGGTGGATGGCCACTGTTTATGGAGCCAATATGTTCTTAGTATTGCTCCAGTGAGTAGCCAAGACACTTGACCTACTGTGTTTAATAATTTCTTGGCTGTTGGGTGGCTTCACTTTTAAAGAAAACTGGCTCAGACTGAAAGCAATGAAAGAAGCTGTGTGGAAAAGACTAGAGGGGCAAGTCACATAGCAGAGGTGCTCTGATGTAGGTATTGATTAAAGTTGAGTCGCTTTGACTCACCTTTCAAAGAAATGATCAGAAATAGTGATGGAGGCTAAGATAAATTCTGCTGGCTTAGATGACAATAAGTAAAAACCTTCCTGTTGACTTCAGTGGGAAACTGGATTAATAAAAAAAACAGGAAGAAATCCTTGAATTTTGAGGTCTCCTTAACCATTCGAAGCTCCTCGCTAAATAAGGTCCATGAGTGCCTGTGCCATTTCTGCTCCTGCCGCTTACCTTCAGCCCAGGGTATTAAGTGAAGATCACTTGCTGTGTTGCTCAGTCCTATCTTGCCGATATAATATGACCAGGGGCTGCGTTACAGCATAGTCTAAGTCACAGGCATGGAACTTGTTCAATGGCAGGAGAGGCATCTGTACATACCACAGGCAGTAAGTAGCTTCATGAATGGAGACAGGTGAGACTGGGGAAGAAAAAATGGGATAGTCACAGAGTTAAGTAGAAAGGCATAGTTATATTAGGAGGCAGCAGTTAGCAGCTATGAAACAAACAGGTCTAAAAGGAGTATTTGTGATCCGAACTTATAATTAACAGCACTAATGAAACTTACCCTAAAATTTTAATTCTCTTGACTGGATTTATTTTTTTTAAAGCATTAATAATCTTTAAAAAGCAATGACAATGCAGTACTTTTTGAATCTGAGGTTAATTTAGTGCCTGTGCTCAGTCTGTTGGACCTGCACTTTTAAAATAGCATTTGAGATTGATACAGTAACCACAGACTAAATCTCAAGACTTTTGTCTTTTCTTCAGGTGCTCGGACTCTGCAGATTCCCCGAGCCAAACTCCCAGATGATGGTGAATATACTTGTATTGCCAGAAACCAAGCTGGGGAAAGTCAGAAGAAGAGTTTCCTAACTGTCCTTGGTTTGTTTTTTACTATTTTCTGAAACAATATCCATCACTTTGAAAATGCAATATTTCATATTTATTTTTATTAGATTGTTTTCTGCCCTCTCACAAAACAGAGGCAGAAATAACTCTGAGCTTCTTCTGCAGTGCCCCCAAGCATCAAAGACCATAGTGGAACCTCACTGACAGTGGTGAATGTAAGAGTTGGCACCCCGGTGACGTTGGAGTGTGAATCCAATGCTATTCCACCACCAGTCATCACCTGGTACAAGAACAGGCGCATAATTTCTGAATCTGCAAATGTGGAGATCTTAGCAGATGGGCAAACGTTACGAATCAAGGGTGCAGAGGTAGGCCAGGCTTGCGGGATGCTGCATCTGCCGCTACTCCGCTACTGTTAAGAAATTGTTCTGCTCTTCATTGGTGTATTCTGCTAGCTGTATGTAGGAGAGGTATTTGCTGGAGGCCTTTCATTCTGTGAAAAAGACCTTGAGTTGGCAGAGACAAAAGCTGTTAATATCTCTAAATTGTACCATTAAAATAAGATTCCATAATAAGCTTTTTTTAATTTATTTTTATTTTAGGTTTCTGACACGGGCCAATATCTGTGCAAAGCCATAAATATTGCAGGGCGAGACGATAAAAATTTCCATCTTAATGTTTATGGTGAGCATACTCTGCAGTACCTGCAGTAGTTATTATAATACCGTAGACGTTGTGGAGTAGACAAGTCACAATCAGTTTACAAAAATATTTGGTAACCAAACCATTCTTATTGCTTCCATTTGATTTATAGTGCCACCAAATATAGAAGGCCCTGAACGAGAGTCGGTCAATGAAGCTATCGGTAATCCTCTTACCTTTGTGTGTGATGCTACTGGAATTCCTCCACCAACGTTAGTGTGGCTTAAGAATGGCAAACCAATAGGTAACGTTCTCTCACGCTCTTTACTGCTCTTTTTTCCCCCTTTGGGGCACCACTGTGCTATTTGCTGTCTATTTTTTGTTTATTCTTCATCTGTCCCTAGACAGACTCTTAAGTTAACTGATTGATGTCTTTGTTTTGTTTTGAAATTTTGATGAAAAACTTTCTCAAGATACGTTTGCGCTCTGTGGCCTGGTTTTTAATGACTACTTGTTTACCTATTTTCAGAAAACTCTGATTCTCTTGAAGTTCATATTTTATCTGGTGGAAGCAAGCTTCAGATTGCTCGCTCTCAGCTTATAGACAGTGGGACCTACACGTGTATTGCCTCAAATATAGAGGGAAAAACTCAGAAAACTTATGTGCTTTCCATTCAAGGTAAGGCATGAGAGTGCACTGAGCAGAACTGTTTAATAAATGGTTGAGTATGACACTGTGTCTGTACTAGAGACATTGGGATAACATAAACTTGTAGTAAAGTGGAGAATTCGGACTATTATTTCAATTATCTGCAATTATATACTGCTACTGAGAAGTGTGCATGAAAAAGAATATTATTATCCTCTGATTGTCGGAGAACTTGAAAGCAGTCGGAAGGGCTGTGTGTGTGTGCTGCTGATCACATCCTTGCTCCTGCTGA